ACCAGCGCCGCCCGAGGCTGCCCCAGCCCCCGGGCCCGGCGCCGCCATCACTTCACCAGCCGGCCCGAGGGCCGCCGCCTCTGCCGTTTCCCTCCGTCCTGGCGCAGGAGGCCGAGCCGAGCCTCCAGACCGGAGCAGCTCGCTCACCGCCCCTTTCAGTGTCAGGCACCGGCGCCACCGCCACTCCCGCCCCTGCCCGGGGCGTCCGCTGCGCGCCCCGCCTCACTGAGGGCAGACGCACCGGTTGCACGAGCGTCCCTGTCCCCTCCCCCGCAGCTCAGCGCGGGCGCCGCCGGAACCGCCCGATTCGGCGGGCCTCCCCGCGGCGCGCCCCGGGCTCCGCCATGCGAGTGCGGGCGAAAGCTAGGGCGCATGCTCAGATCACGCGCGGTTCCTCTTGGCCCCGGATGTGACTCTTCGGCTGTGGCGCCCCGCGCCTGAGTGCTTGACAAGATTGGACTGTGAATGAGGTCATCACCGGGCGCCGAGGAGGGGAACGGGAAGCGCAGGTTTGCGGTGGGTGCTGGTGTGTTCTGAGCTACCCTCCGGTACTTTTTCCTCTTTTTTTTTCGTCTAGCGGCCCCGCGTCGACTCTCCTGGGCTCCTTTTCCTATGAAGCTTCCCTGTGCCCTTGATTCCTGCTTCTGTTTCCAACTTAACGCATGAAACTTCCTTTCCTTGCCAGCTGATTGTATCTCCTCCGGTTTGAGTGGCATCGGCTCTGTACTTGGCCAGCTGGGTAGCCTTTTCCTGGTCAGGCCTCTTAGCCCCCCCCCCAATTACAGGTGGTTATCAGAACTCTGTCCCAGCCTGAGTTTGAAAAGTAACGTGGCCGAATCCCCTCTAATACCTGTCGCCCAAAAGTTTCGATAACTTCCATGTACTGAGTACTAATTAAATCCCATGTCTTGGGATCAAAATGTAGTGTTCTCAGATCCATTGCTTAGGAGGGCAGATTGAGGCAATGTGCTTTGATTCGGTTAGACCGTGACATGGAGATTGGAATTGGGGATGGTTTCTTGGAAGCAAAAGAATTTCAGCATTATTTACTCATACTGCGTTTTCTGAGGGGGCCTCCGAAGTTTGACAGCCTTTGAAGAAACACTTCAAAAAAGAATAACAATAGCCACGACGTAGCTAAACATTATAGTAGGTCCTTTACGCGGTTTTTAAGTAACTCTTAAGGCAACTCTGAAGTAATTATAATAGGGCTCACAGATCTCAGTCAATCCAGTGTCTTGCAATCTTTATGTACTAAGAAGTCTTGCCTGAACAAAAAAATTTGGCAAGGTGTAATCCTTTCCTTGTTCTCTAGTAAAAAACAAACAACTACTTCCTTATTCTGATGTGGTGACCTGTTTTCTACTTGCCCATCCCTTCTCCCAGAAGCCTTTTTCACCAAGCTTAGTAACCTAAATTCTTTACATTCTCATCAATATCCGTGCCACGGTCTTTCAGTCGTTTTGGTTGGTACTCAGTTTTCCATTTGAAGACCAACTTTAGAAAGCCCAAACTTAGGAAGACAAGTTGACTATAGTGCCAGTACAGGAGTTAGAACTTAGGGCTTTCCATTCTTCCTTAGTTTAGAGTCTCTCAGACTTCTCTGCTCCAGTTGGCTTCAAACTTCAATTGTCAGATCTCAGCTTTCTTTCTTAGGTTTGGTTTTTGTCAGTTGTGGGGCTTGAACTCTGGGCCTGGGTGCTGTTCCTGAGCACTTCAGCTCAAGGTGAGTGCTCTACCATTTGAGCCACAACACCACTTCTGGTTTTCTGGTAGTTAATTGGAGTCTCATGGTCACGGAGTTTCTTGCCTGGACTGGCTTTGAATCATGATCCTCAGATCTCAGCCTCCTGAGTTGCTAGTATTATGGGCGTGGCCTAGCTAGAATTACAGGCAGGAACCACTGGAGTCTGGCCTGTACTGATCTCAAGCTTTCTAAATGTTGAATCAATGTTGAAACTTGGAAAGACAGGTTTCTTTTACATTGTCCATCTGAGAAAGAACCATACAGAACAATCAGCCAATCAGCTTGAAAGTCACAGGCAAGGCACCATGGCACCAGATATCTATGGTCCCAGCTACTTGAAAGACTAAGGGGGGAGGATGCCTTTATCCCAAGAGTTCAAGACCAGTTTGGACAAAATAGACCCTATCTCTTAAAAAGAGAGAGTTTATGAAGATAGCATAAAAAACCTCAGAGAATGCTGTTGGTCAGTAAGTGACTGGGAGAGAAGAAAGAGAAACTATCTGCTGGGGAGGATACTAGTGAGAAGGAGTTGGACTAACATGGTTGGGAGAGGATGGATATTGTTGAAATGGATTTTCAGCAAGTATGAAAATTGTATAACGAAGGGGGGAGGGTAAAGGAGAGCAATGGGGAGGGATTGATTGGAATGCGTTTGTTTTTGTGTTGGAAAATTCAGTGAAATCCCTTGTGAATGTATGCTAATAGAAAATAATAATTTAACAGAATGTATATATAATAGATATTATTACATATGTTAATAATTTAATAGAATCTGGACACTTGAAAAACCCAAATGGCTAAGTGGAGATACGACTAGATGAGTGTTAAAATCAGTTATTAAATACTTTGTCCTTTATCTTCTGTCTCTCACAAAAGTGGAACCAGATACCTGTATTTCATGCTATAATCCTAGCCACTAAGGAGAAAGGCCTGGAGGATCGAGGTTCAAAGCCAGCCAGGGTAGAAAAGCCCATGAGATTCCGTCTCCAAAATAACCAGCAAAAAGCTGGACTGTAGGCATGACTGATAGAAACTCCAGTCAAGCAGATCAAGCAAGTTTGAGGCCCTGATTTCAAACCCCAGTAACACACACACACACACACACCTAAAGCCCTGATTTCAAACCCCAGTAACACACACACACACACGCACACGCACACACACCTACCTAGAGCCTTTGAAATCTCCCATGCAATAATTCTGTTGTTTAGCCCCATCAAGGAGGCGACTTCTGTAACATACTGTCTCACAGGTGGTCTAGATAAAATTTCAAAGTTGACCAAAGACTACCTTTACCACTCCCTCATTTTCTTTTCTTCTCCTTTCTTTCTTTTCTTTCTTTCCTTTCTTTTCTATTTTCTTTCTTTCTCTTTCTTTCTTTTCTTTCTTCTTTCTTTTCTCTTCCTTCTTTCTTTCTTTCTTTTTTGTTGGTCATGGGCCTGAGCTCTGGGCTGGGCGCTGTCCCTCAGCTCTTCAGCTCGCTAGTGCTCTACCACTTGAGCCACCGTATTTCTGGCTTTTTTCTGCTTATGTGGTGCTGAGGAATGGAACCCAAGGCCTTATGCATGCAAGGCAAGCACTCTACTACTGAGGCACCTTCCCAGCCCCTCCCTCATTTTCTTTTTACAAATCTTTTATTTCATCAACACCTTCCTCCCCTGGCCACCTCCCCCATGATCAGGACCCTCATTCTGCCTTCCAGCTTTTCAAAACTGCCACCCATGAGGCTCCACCCTCTCAAAAAATGTTCTCAGAATACCCCACCTGCCTTCATCCACTCCTTGATCTCATTAGGTGTTAAAAGGAATCTATTATCTAATTAAAGTAATTTATAGTAGCATATGATTAATTGCTATGCTTGGCCCTTTAGGCTACTGTACAGGAAAAGAGAAGCTTGTTGACTTCGTGTGTAAATGTGGGGATACTGGCACTTACCCTATTTTTGCTAGGCTTTCTGTCCAAGTAATAGGAAAACAAAAACAGTGACTTGACAACTCACTTCTAAGAAATCGTTATTCAACTTAAATTTAAGTACATTTTCTTCAGTACCATTCTAGCACAAAACTTTGTTTAAAATATTTTTCAAGGGGCTGGGAAGGTGGCTCAGTGGTAGAGTGCTTGCCTTGCATGCATGAGGCCCTGGGTTCAATTCCTCAGCACCACATAAGCAAAATGAAAAAAGCCAGAAGTGGCGCTGTGGCTCAAGTGGTAGAGCGCTAGCCTTGAGCTGAAGAGCTGAGGGACAGCGCTCAGGCCCAGAGTTCAGGCCCCACTACCGGACCAAAAAAATATATATATATTTTTTTTCAATCCTTGAGATGGTTTTGCTATGTAGCCCAGACTGGCTTCAAACTTACTATTGTGCCCAAGATAGCCTTGAACTTGAAATCTGCCTGCCTCAGCCTCCCAAGGGCTAGTATTATAGTAATGTGCCACCAATCCTGGCTTGTTTAACACATTTTTTGTGCCAGCACTGGGGCTTGTACTCAGGGCCTTATAGGGACAGTGTGCCCAGGCCCTTAGTTCAAGCCCCATAACTGGCCAAAAAAAAAAAGTTGAGGGCTGGGAAGGTGGCTCAGTGGTAGCGCGCTTGCCTTGCATGCATGAGGCCCTGGGTTCGATTCCTCCGCACCACATAAACAAAAAGGAAAAGGCCAGAAGTGGTACTATGGCTCTAGTGGTAGAGCACTAACCTTGAGCTGAAGAGCTGAGGGACAGTGACCAGGCCCAGAGTTCAGGCCCCATGATTGGCCAAAAAAAATGTTGATATATAGATTTTGTTGTTGTTGTTGTTATAGGTTATGAGGCTTGAACTTAAGAGGCTAGGCTCTGTCCCACAGCACCACTTTCAGCTTTTTCTGAGTTTTTTAGAGATGAGAGTCTCATGGACTTTTCCTGCCCTGCTGGCTTTGAACTTCGAACTTCGGTCTTTTGTTGTTGTTGTTGGTTGTGGGGCTTGAAATCTGGGCCTGGGCGCTGTCCCTCAGCTCTTCAGCTCAAGGTGAGCACTCTACCACTTGAGCCACAGCGCCACTTCTGGCTTTTCTGTTTATGTGGTACTGAGGAATTGAACTCAGGATCTCATGCATGTGAGGTAAGTACTCTACCACTGAGCTACCTTCCCAGCTCCTCGAACTTCAATGTTTAGATCTCAGCCTTCTGAATAGCTAGGATTACAGGCATGAGCCACTGGTGCCCAATCTGGTATATGGATTTTTGAGGTTCAGTCTGCTCTCTGTCCCTTCCTCCTCTCTCCTTGATGAGTGGTGCTGTGTAGCTCAAGCCTATGGTAGAGTCCCAGACATGAGTGAAAAAGCTAAGGAACTACTGGTACCAGGGGTGGGTGGTGGGTGGGAGACAATACATAAGTATTTCTGTGTGTATGTGTGTGTGTGAGAGAGAGAGAGTGAGTGAGTACTGGGGCTTGAACTCAGGGCCTCTTGCTCTTACTTAGATTTTTTTGCTCAAGGTTGGTATTATACTACTTCAGTGACACTTCCACACTGGTTAATTGGAGATAGTCTCACTGACTTCTCTGCCCAGGCTGCTAGGATTTCAGGCATGAGCCACCAGCGCAGAGAAGCAGTTTTGTATTGAGAGTAAAAACTAGATACATTGTCATTTTTTTTTTTAATTTTTGTAGGTTGTAGGGCTTGAACTCTGGGTGTTGTCCATGGGCTTTTTCACTCAAGGCTAGCACTGTACCACTTTGAGCCATAGCACCTCTTCCTGTTTTCTGTGGCTAATTGGAGATAAGAGTCTCACAGACTTTCTAGCTAGGCTAGCTTCGAACCCTGATCCTCAGATCTCAGCGTCCTGAATAGCTAGGATTACAGGAGTGAGCCACCAGCACCTGGCATTGTCAGATTTATTTTTTTTTCAAACAGAATTAAGAAATTTATCACAATATCATGAACTAAAAATTCAGGTATCTTACCTGAACTCAATTTTTTCTTGCTAAATTTTTCCTTTTGTTGTGAAATGAAATTTTGAATTTATCCAGATTAAAAGAAAAGAAAAAGGAGGAGGAAAAAGAAAAAAAGGGGGAAAAAGTGTCCAGATTGATGTTTGCCTCACCTCATCTGGCCATTGAAGTTATATTATTTTCTTGATATCCCTTTTTCTGCTGACCAATAAGCAGTTGGGACAGGCCAATATTGTGTGGCAACTTCATTGAATGTATCTGGGGCTTTTAGGGGAGCAGGAATCTAAATTTTGCTTATTAATATTATTGTATAGTTGCAAATAGATGATGTTAAATATGTGATTAAAATATGTGAATACCGTTAAAACCAGTAATGAATTATCAGTAGCTTTTAGTCCATTTCTGTTCTTTGAAGGAATGATCACAAAACTATGGTCAAGTGGAGTTGTTAGAATAAAATATTCATTATTTAAACTTGGGAAACCTTTAGATTCAATCTCGTGAACAAATCTTAAGACCCAAGCAAACTGTTTAACCTTTTTGATAAATTCGGGTAAGTTTTTGTTGTTGCTAGTAATACAACTCAAGCTGTTGTGCATTTTTGTACATGGTTGACCTGTTCTACCACTGAGACAGCTTTATTATCTGGAAACAAAAACTAATTAGAAGGGTTGTTTTTTAAAACTAAACTTACTTAACTTACTGAGTAAGTCTCTGGTGGTAAGACCCAAAGGTCTGTGTTTTTAACCAATTCCCCAGATGATCATTAATACAATACAGCTCTGAAGTTCTAGCACACATTAGGATTAACACATTGCTTAGAACCCCCCCCCCCACACACACTACAAGAGGTTCAGAATCAGATTTTAGGTAAGATACAACAATTTATACTTCTAACACATCCTCGGTGTTGCTGATTGCTGCTAGTCCAGGAAGTGCTATTGGGAAAGACATTTTGAAACTCTTGGGGTTAGGCTAGGGGCGTGACTCAAGTGGTAGGTACTAAGGGCGTGACTCAAGTGGTAGGTACTAGGCAGCTAGCAAGCACATGAACCTAAATTGAAGCCCCAGTACTGAGGCAGAGGGGGAAAGCTCATGTGGTGTATATATGATATCATTTTGATACACCTAATAAAATAGAAGAGGAATCTTAGGAATAGTTATTGAACAGTCACTATGCAATAGGACAATTATATGTGTTTTACATATATTATTTAAATCTCTCAGTGATCCCATAAAATAGGGGTGTTTCTATTACCCTCTTGAAGAAGTGAGCTTAGAGAAGTTCAACAACTTGCTCAGTCATCCAACTAATATAAGCCTGGAGAATCTAGCACAGAGCTCATTCTCTGAAACATTATCCAGATGAAAGGTCTAATCTGATTAATGTGCAACCTTTTTTCCTTTTTTTTTGTCCGTCCTGAGGCTTGAACTCAGGGCCTGGGCACTCCCTAAGCTCTTCAGTTCAAGGCAAGCACTCTACCACTTGAGCCACAGTACCACTTCTAGTTTTCTGGTGGTTAATTGGAGATAAGAGTCTCACAGACTTTTCTGCCCAGGCTGGCTTTAAACTGCAATCCTCAGATATCAGCCTCCAGAATAGCTAAGATTACAGGTGTAAGCCACCAGAGTTTGACTAGTGTTTATAAACTTAAGTGAGTCTCACACCAAAGACTAGAGAAGTAGGCTTACCTGGGCCTCTGGTGGCAAGGAAAGCCTTTGCAGAATGTGTTAGCCAATGTATCACAATCCCGTGTCCAACTAGGGTTTGGGTTTTTTGTTTTTTGCCAGTCCTGGGGCTTGAACTCAGGGCCTGGGCACTGTCCCTGAGCTTTTGCTAAAGGGTAGCACTCTACCACTTGAAGCCACAGAGCCACTTCTGCTTTTTCTGTTCATGTGGTACTGAGGAATGGAACCCAGGGCTTCATACATGCTAAGCAAGCACTTAACACTAAACCACATTTTCAGCCCTGGGCTTTTTTTGTTGTTTGGTTGGTTGGTTGGGATTTTTGGGTTTTGGATGTTTTTTTCTGTTTGTTTGCTTGTTGTCAGTCCTGGGGCTTGAGTGCTATCTCTGAACTTCTTTTGCTCAAGGCTAGCACTCTACCACAACTCTATTTCCAGCTTTTTTTGGGTAGTTTATTGGAGATAAAGAGTCTCACAGATTATTTATTTATTTATTTATTTTGTCTGTCGTGGGGCTCAAACTCTGGGCTTGGGCGCTGTCCCTCAGCTCCTCAGCTCTTCAGCTCAAGGCAAGCACTCTACCGCTAGAGCCACAGCTCCACTTCCGATTTACTAGTGGCTTATTGGAGATAGAGTCTCAAGGACTTTCCTGCCCGGGCTGGCTTTGAACCATGATCCTCAGATCTCAACCTCCTGTGTAGCTAGGACCTACTAGAAATACTTTGAACTGTGATCCTTAGATCTCAGCCTCCTGAGTAGCTAGGATTATAGGCATGAGCCACTGGCACCCAGCTTCAACTAGGTTTTTGTAGATTTTGGTCTTTAAATGTCTTTTATTTGAGTGATTATTTTAAGATTTTTGGGGGGTGGGGAGGGTCTGGTCGTGGGGCCTGAACTCTGGGCCTGGGTGCTGTCCCTCAGCTCTTCAGCTCAAGGCTAGCACTCTATCACTTAAGCCACAGCGCCACTTCCACCTTTTTTCTTTTTTGCTTATGTGGTGCTGAGGAATCGAACCCAGGGCCTCATGCATGCAAGGCAAGCGCTCTACCACTGAGCCACCTTCCCAGC